ACAAAGAAGTCAGACAGAATCATTAGTAGCTTCTATTGGCCAGGAGTCACTGGAGATGCGAGGAGATTCTGCAGGTCATGTGACATCTGCCAAAAGACAATACCTAGAAGGAAGGTAGCCAAGGTGTCATTGGGAAAGATACCCCTCAAAGAAGAATCATTCAGCAGAGTAGCTATGAACTTGATTGGACCACTAGCACTTATTTCTGACAAGGGCAACCAGTATGTGCTGACAGTAGTTGACTATGTGACATGTTATCCAGAAGCAATAGCACTAGCGAAGACAGAGAGAGTAGCAGAAGCTCTCCTGAAGGTATTTTGCAAAGTAGGCTTTCTGGGAGACATTTTGAGTGACAGAGGAACCCAGTATACTACAGAACTGATGCAGGAAATGTGCAGACTCATCAGTACTCGGCAGATCTTTACTACCCCATACAATCCTAGATGTAATGGATTTTGAGTCAATGGAGTTTTAAAGAGCATGCTAAATATGAGCCAAAAGAGACCATGTGACTGGGACAAGTGCTTGCAGATAGCAGTATTTGCTTATCGTGAAGTCTCACAAGCAAGTATAGGATTTTCACCATTTGAGTTACTGTATGGAACAACAGTACAAGGTCTGATGCAAATATTGAAAGAGCTATGGATGAGAGAAGAAGAGTCAGAAGTAAGGAACACATATCAGTATGTGTTAGGCCTCAGAAACTGATGGGAGAAGACCTGTCAACTTGCTTGACAGAGCTTGAATGCAGCTCAAGGTAGTCAGAAGCATTTCTATGACAAGGCCAAGAACTGATGTTTCAAGGTCAGACAGAAGGTCTTAGTTATGCTGCCCTTGGACCACAACAAACTTACCCTGCAGTGGAAAGGACGTTTTCAAGTAGAGGAAGAACTCAACAGAATGGACTATAAGGTGAATATGAACAAGAAGACCAAGATCTACCATGCCAATCTGTTGATGAAGTATTATGGGAGAGAAGAAGACCTAATGGGTGCAGCTATTGAAATACAGATGGATGTTGCAGGTGTGGCCATCATAGATGCAGAACCAGAAGACAGTGACTTTGTCTCAGAAGATGAGGACCTACTAGACCTAAGACCACTGGGTGCAGATGAGACATACAACGATGTCAACATCAGTAAAGAACTCACTGGCAAGCAGAAAAAAAAGAGCTACAAGACTTACTGTGCCAGTATGCAGATATCTTCATGGATAGACCAGAAAAAACAGACCTTGCACAACAGAAGATTGAGACCACAACCAGGGATCCAGTCAGAGTGAAGCCCTATCAGATGCCTTATGCAATGAGAGACCTGATAAAGTAGGAAGATGAGGCACTGTTGGAAGCTGAAATCATGGAGCCATCAAATTCAGCCTACTGTTGTAGATGTAGTTATGAAAAAGAAGGATGGATCAAGCCACTTCTGTATAGACTTCCAGAAGCTGAAACTCATGGCAAAGTTTGACTCCAGACCTATGGGCAACCCAGAGGCTATCATGGCAAAACTAGATGGGGCCAGGCTCTTTTCAAAGATAGACATCAGTAAAGGTTATTGGCAGATGTTGATGGAGATGGGATCTAAAGAGAGGACAGCATTTGTGACACCAGATGGGTGTTATCAATTTATGCAGATGCCATTTGGGTAAGTCAATTCAGCAGCAACATTCAACAACATGATGAGGAGGAAGTTGCACAAAACAACCAACATAGAGCACTATGCGAATGACATTCTGACATACACTACAAGATGGGAAGACCACCTGAAGAAACTTAGGGAGCTGTTCCAACAAGTTAGGGCAGCAGGTCTTACCATCAGAACATCCAAATGTTACATTGGATATTCTGTGCTGGAGTTTGTTGGACAAAAGGTGGGGGACCAACAGATAGCCATGGAAAAGAAGGTAATCTGCATACAAGATACACTAGCTCCAATAACCAAGCAGCAAGTCAGATCCTTCCTGGAATTAGCAGGATACTACAAGAAATTCATCCCAAACTATGCTGAAGTTAGCAACATTGACTGACCTGACCAAAAAAGGCTTGCCCATCAAAGTGAAGTGGGACAAACCACACCACTTGGTATTTCAGAAATTAAAGAACATGTTGGGAAGTTCGCCCATTCTTAGGATGCCAGTCTTCAACAAACCATTCATTGTTCAAGCTGATGCTTCAGACATTTAAATTGAGACAATACTCTTAAAAGAACATGAAGATGGACTGTTTCTTGTAATTTATATAAGTAAAAAGCCAATGAGTAGTGAGAAAAACTACTCCATGATTGAATGAGAGTGTCTGGCCATCATCTTTGCCATTTGGAAGTTCCAGAACTATCTATACGGGAAGGAGTTCATCATCCAGACAGACCATCAACCACCTCCATACATTCAGATGTGCAAAATCAACAGTGTGAGGATTATGAGGTGGGCATTGTACTATCAGAACTACAGGGTCCACATTGAAACCATCAAAGAGACTGCAAATGTTGGTACAGATATTACGAGTAAACTTTCTGGGTGAGTTTAAAACAGTCTTTGCATATAGTGAAAAAACAACGTAAATATTTTTCTTGGAGAGGGGCTTACTGCCAAATATAAAAGACTGTTTAGAGTAGGTAGTATTATTTATTAACTTATTTTGTGTTTGTAATTCATTTATGTCGAGGCTATGGAAATTTCTAGAAGGCCTAGGTAATAGATGACCAGATGAGCAGAAAGAGAGTAAAGTCATGTAAAAAAGAAGTTCAGGCTGAGAAAAGTTAGAAAACATAAAGTTAACCATTGTGGGAGTGAATGGACTAACGGTTGTTATGTTAAACCAAGATTAACAGTTTGAAAGAGATAAGGAGAATAACACATACATATACATATTATTTTTAACACAAGTGGAATGCGTGCTGTTCATTTATTGTCAAATTTATTGCCAACAACTCGCAGACACCTACTGTAGAAGAATCTTTAGCCCAACACACCCAAATATTTACATTACTATATATGAAACTAAAAAGTAGTTTTGACACCTGTGTCACATGACATGCATGTGCTCTCTATTATTGATTTTTTCCACCCTTATATGGGCTTCAGCGTGTCCAACTAATTAGAAGTACACACTTTAGATATTAACAAGCAAGAATATAAAATCTGAGCTTCCAATTTTCTTGCTTTACTGAAATATCCCTATATTTGTTCCACCACCCATGACATGCCCTCTCATCTCTTCCTCTCTTTCATGTATTGTCTGTAATTCACACTGAATTGCTATTGAACATATTTACAACCAAAAGAAAGAGGATATGTTTCATTACAAAATTTGTTAAATAATTATTTCATTTTTGCCTGCAATAAGTACACACTATACTTGTCATTCAACTTGTTCAGCTCCAATCCGTTAATATAAATATTTTAACCTATTTATAGCTTAGTTAGAAAGCCTTTTAATTATAGTAGTTTGTGGACATTATATTCTAGTGCCTGAAATATTCTTTCTGTGTTCTAAAATGCATATTTAAAAGCAACATGAATTAATTTTGAAAAACCAACAAAGTATGAAAAAATAGTCTTGCCAAAGTACATTCTCAAGTGGAAATGGGCCTATAGCTAAGGCAAGTGCTAGATTTCTTGATTTTATGTATATATTTTTACTTATTATATATATATATATATATAATCAAAATTTACTAAAATGTAAAGATTAGAAACTTATTAGGTTATATAACAAAACTTAAATGAAAAATTCCTCCTTATCACCCATTTGTGTAATCCTTGCAGTTTGAGGTTGTGATGTAACTCAATACACTGTGATACATTGGGACTCGTATATTGTGAGATGGTTTAGTCATACCATAAAACAATAAACCTAAAAGAAAGCAGGTGTTAAAAATTAAAAGGCTGTTAGTATATCTGGAAGGAAAAAAGTATTTCTGATTCAATTTCATATTTTTTGAACTTTTCATTTTACTATACATTGATGATTTCACTACAGTTAGTGTTAGGGTACAGAAAGTAAGAAATGAAGCGTAAAGTTTTAACAAATAACTTTTTTTTTTAACATTCATTTAGGAGGTTCTAGAGGTTAAGCAAGTGAAATATAAAAACTGTAAGATGAAAAGAAGTATATTTATTCTTAGTATGAAATTATCTTTCACTTAGACTGAGTCAGTAAAGGCTTTGGAAAGTCATTGACAAATTTTTAGTGAAAATACTTTGTTAAAATATCAGATTTTTTGTGTGCAAAATACCCTTAATGTTTACTAAAAGCTTGTCAAATTTTGTGAAGGTGCGCACAGTAAATTCAGAGTTATGGTACATATAGCTTCTTGGTTACATGGCAATTACCTGATCTGACAAATTTACTGAGACTCTATGTATAAGGGTTAACGAACTCATTCACTAGAATATAATATTGGGTAATAGTACTGTAAAAGGAACCATATCACAAACTCGTGTTCCAAAGTTTTGTAACTGGATTAAGAAAAGAAATCAAATTAATATAATTCAAAGTCTGAACTGACTTGTTTAAAATTTTGTAGCTTTCTTTGTAATAATCAAGAAAATAAAGGTAAAAAGACTACAATATGAATTGTAACTAAAGGTTATAATAATAATGCAAACATTTTGTAATACTTAATGAAAAAACAGAAAAAATCGAAACAAAGCAGTGCTGAGGAAAAGAATGAGACTTTGCTGAAACACAAGTGCTCATGGAGTAGACTGCACATGGAGAATGTGCTGCTTCCTATTCGATTGGTGAAGTAAGTGTTAATACATATAAGGATGGATGTTTTGTTCAAGAGCTGGTGCATGGCCAAATATTATTTCAGCAGTGGCAAGAGGTAACAGCTATCAGTTCTATGGAGAGGCGAGTGGCATTTCTGAACTATATTTCCTTTACTGTTTGTTTTTGTAGAAAGACAATCTAAATTTTAGTTTCTGTAACAATTCACAAAAGATCTTTCAAATGCATTGATAACTTTTATCACTTTCTTAAAAAGAAAAAGTCCTACCAATGTTTTTTGAATCTTCCCATTCTTCTTTTTCCTCAGTTACAACCAAGACAAACACAGATGTGCGATGTTTTCGTTCAAGATTCTGTAAAAAGACAAGGACTTACACGGATGGAAGATACTGTGTGTAAACTTAAAATGTTAATTAAAATCAGAATAAAACATAAGGAGAAAGGCTTCATATTTTTAACTTGACCTTAACTAAAACCATTTGTTATTATGCCATGATCAGAATTAATGTCATTACGTTGTTGAACCTTATTTCTATCTAGCAACTGTTCATTTTGATGAATGTTGCTTAACCCTACCGATGTAGGTCAGAGGTCAAAGGCTATGTCATCGTGTTTGTTGACTTGCATTCAAAATTTTATCAAACTACTATTCTATGAATGTATATCAATAAGTTTGGTATCAAATTGCAGATTATAATCCAAATTTTAGTAATATATATTAGTTAATTTCTTAGTTTAAAGGTAAGTATTTAAAAAAATCCTAAATATTGATTTTTGTGTGTCACACGATATGTTGAATGCAGCATTGGTTCAAATTAGATGTTTGTGATTTCCAAATACAAAGTATATAGTTTCTTACAAATTAGATACTCAAATTCCCGATATTGAGAAGTTAGAATGTAAAATAAGAACAAGGAATCTTTTTTTAATTTTCTGAGATATTAATATATTTATTGAATCAACCAAGATGATCCTGGCACCTCTTCAATTTTTTAAAATACCTGCTTACACACACCCAATAACGTGTGTATAACCAATCGAAAGCTCAGAATGTTCTCATCATAATTTTTTCAACCTCTGCAAAGTATTTGTGCTGCAAACTTTCTTTTCATGCTAGATTCCAAGCAGTAAAGTAAGACATTAGTGAGCTCGAAATTTAATATTTTTTTTAGACCCAAATACGGCTTAGTTACTAAGCTTGATAAATTATATTGGAATTCTGTGGTATTGATAGAGTAATTTAGGATTTTTGGTTATTTCAAAACGTATATATAAAACCTAAAAAAATAATTTTGTTTCATATCCTTTACATATGAAATTTGATGAGGCTTAGCAACCTACAGCAAGCAGCAAACAAGTAGAAGATATAATTGTTTTCTATACTTTTTTATTTACTATTCTGTGTTTTAAGAAAAATAAGTTTAAGAACTTATTTGTAAATATTAAAAGCGTATTATAACTGAAATGAGACTGTATTTTACAAAATATTAGTTCACTAAAACACAGCCAAGACAGGTCACTTTGTAAAGGTCAGTTTTACGTTATTGGATACAGTAACATAAGTGCACATGTGCTGCATCATTATAACTTCTGTAATGTTGCCAAGCATGGCTGAAAGGTCAATATAATAAAAATATTAATTATATATAGCTGTATAATGTTACAACATTTAAGCTTATTAGACTAAATATTTGTGTTTTCATGTTATAATTTGTAATCATTCTAGAACGAAAAAATCATAATTTATATTATTTCTTAACTTTTTATGGTGGTTACGAGGTCGGTCAAATCAACCCACCCAATACAGAGATACAGCAGTGAAAATAACAGATAAAATATAAAGTTTTTTCTGAAAAAATGTTTCATGATTATCTGGAGGTTATAAAGATTTTGCAACATTCAATGGTGAAGTAAAAAGGCATGAAAAAAACATTACTTAAGAAATCTAAAACTTAATAAAAAATATATTTTCCATGCAAAAGGCTTGTAATGTTTACTAATAATATACAAAATTTTGCGAAGATATTCTTATTTGAAAGTTATAACATGAAAACTATAACAAGCATAAAATGGTTACATGGTTGGCCCCTGGAACTGAGTTTGTACTGAAATAGTTAAATCTCTATTAGTGAAAACTGAAGAAAAAGTAGAATTTAATAATCCATCTATTTCATAATCATCAGGTATCAGCCTTGTGGTATCATCTCTCAAAGGCTCCTACTCCCATCGTAACATTTTGCTTACTCTTAACACATTTGAAAAAAATCCTTCGTATTTGTTTTTACATATTCAACCAACCTTTTCTCATATAGTTTTTTTTCCTAATTTCTCATTTGAATAATTCCCTTGATCTTCCAAAGGCATCCAAACTTCCCATCATTGCAGTAAATTTATGCTTCTTATAATGCTTTTCTTTAATTTTACCCTTTATATCCTTTGTGAGACAACCTGGTTTTTACTGCAGCCACCCTTTGTTGTCTATAAGGAATATGCAAAAAAATTTTTCCACATCTGATCTGTATTTCCAACTGATTTAGTTGTTCAATTTACAGCACATAATTCTTGTATCATCTCTTCTGTTCTTGATGTTCTGGTTGATCAGTTTCTTAAGCCATCCAAGCAATGTGCTGTTGCAAGTGTAAGACAAATGAGATTTTAGGTTGTATCTACCCAAATACTGAATAAAACACTAAAGAGGTTATAATGTCATTGTATAGGTCATTGATTAGGTCACATTTGGAGTATTATATTCAGCCTTGAGCTCCTTACCTTTCAAGGGACATTATATTGTTGGAAAGGGTTTAGAAAAAGATTATTGAGATGATATCTGGGTTGGAAATGTTATGATATGAGGATAGAATGAGATCTCTGAACTTGTTTTCTCTTGAAAAATGAAGAGTTGAAGGGATCTGACTGAGGTGTTTCAGATCATTACGAGAATTGATAATGTTGATGCATCATCTTTTTTCATATTTAATGGTGACAATGGTAAGACTAGGAAACACAAGTATAAATTATGGTAGGAAAGAAGCCATCTTCAGCTAAGATAGCTTTATTTTTCTAACAAGGTGTTTGGCCTTTAGCAAAGGTTGCCTTCAAACGTGGTATATGCAGTAAATTTAAGGTAAAGCTTGAATATTTGAATGGTAAGTGCTGGTTTTCAGGTTTTTTAAATATTTTTTTTAATTAAAGGTTTAATTTAATTTAATGGATAGGACAGCCTAGCCATACCAAGAAGTCCTTTGTTATGTTATGTTAAAAGTTATAATTTTCCTATACAGAAAATATATTTCCGATAAGCACTTACCTACTCTCACATATATAGCTATTCTTATTCAGTGCTGCCCTCAATATGCAAACATTTTTGTGCATGCCACAAGCTTTGCACTCCCACTTACCCACGATTATCATGGTTCCACTGCATCTCATATCTTTGTGCAACAACCCTCCACCAATAGGAGTGCAATACAACCTTCTGATGCATGTGGCTCCCTCTATTCGATTCTTCTGAACTATCCTTTCAATCTTAGGCAGAAATGGAAGCACTGATTTTCAGTGGGGAAGGAAGGGTGAGAAATTTGAATGGAGGTAAGTACCTATCAGAAATATGTTTTTGGTGTCAGAAAATTATAACTTCCGATATGGTACCTTACTTCCTCTCACATATATAGCTAGAATCCCACATTGAAAAGGTGGAGGGACCAGTGCAGGGGATATAAAGTAGCACCCTTTGAAAGTATCTGAAAAATACCTTATACTGATGATCTTCAATATAAAGAATCATCCTTGGGAGACCGCACAACTTCTGTACCAGGTATAAACTTTGCTCAGTGTGCAGACACAAGCAGAAAAAAGGATGAGCACAACCAAAAGGGAGAGAAAATGGTAAGATTGGAATCCAAAACCACCTGAGAACGTACTCTCAATTCCAATGAAGAGAGTCTGCAGATGAATCCTCTACAGACAGTAATGTAGGAGAAAACAAAACTGGATGTGCTCCAAGGTGTAGATTGGCTAGGGTGCAGCAGACCATACATGGCCAGTCAACTCCAGTCCAAAACAAAGCAGCAAAGGGGAATATAACCTTCAATCCATTGTAGGAGGACGGTCCACAATGTGCAAATTGATCTCTGAAATGGGCACATTTGCACGGTCCACAACTAACCAGACATCGAAGAACCTAACATCCAAACGATAGTAGTAACAGGCAACATGTGTGAGGATCTATGTTGATTGGTCCTGCTCTCAATCCAAAACCAGCCACTGGGAACAGTCATCCATGTGATGGTAGGATGAGTGATCCCAATCAAACATGTGAACTTCAATGTGATGGATGAACTCCAAAGCAACACCATCTCCTTGGACAGGATACCACTGCACAGAAGTGGAATGCCCCTAAAATCATATGGAATTGCACCCTCTGCATAGCCATGAAAGCCAGGCAGAAAATTAACCTTTGGAGTGCATCATATAGAAAAAGAGCATTTTTATTATTAGGTTGTCAAGACATTAATGCCCCTTTTTTTGGGATGAAAAAACCTGAACAACTTGTATATCAAAACAAAACATTTATTAAATGGAATAGTCTCCATTCTTATCGATGATGCTATTCCATCTTACAATCAGGTTGTTAATGCCCTAATTAAAGAAATCACTTGGCTTTGAAGCAAAAAACATGTCGATGTCCTTTTTAATACCTTCCACATTTGCATATGTTTTACATTAGAATGGTGTTGCAGTGAACGAAAGCGATGGTCATCTGATGGTGCCATATCTGGAGAATATGGTAAGTAGGGGAGAACTTCCCAACCCAACTCCATAATCTTGTGGTGTGTCAAACGTGCCACATATGGACATACGTTGTTGTGGAGAAGAAGAAGAACACCTTTCCGATTGACAAGTGAAGGGCGTTTCTGATAAAGGGTTTGATTTAAACATTCCAGTTGCTGACTATAGATTTATGCATTTACAGTTCACTGTGGATTGCAGAATTCGAAATGATTTATTCTTTTGACGTCCCACTAAATGCAAAGCATCACTTTCTGCAGATGGATTCCAGGTTTTGAGGTCAGAAGTGGTTTTTGTCTTGGACTGAGCCATTGTTTTTGGCATTTAATATTTGCAGAGAATCCATTTTTCATCATCGGTGACAATTCTGTCCAAAAATGGTTCATGTGCATTACGCGCCAGAAGAGATGAAACAACGTTCACACATAGGAAACGATGATCATTAGAGAGTTCATGAGACACACAAACATCTTCTTTATGGAATTTTCCCATATTCCTTTGATGTTTACATATTGTTTCATGAGAGACATGCAATTTCAGGGTCATTTCACAAGTGTGTTGGCTTGGGTTAAACTCAACAAGCATCTTCAGAGCATCAGTATCAATTACAACACGTTGGCTCCTGCCATCACAATCTTTAGGGCTAAAGTCACTGAATAAAATTTGCTGAACCATCTTTCACACTTACGAATGTTCAAAACATTTCCATAAATTTCTTTAATATTCGTGGCTGCAGACGCATTGCTTCCCTTCTTGTAATTCAAACAGCACTACATGCCGAATGTGTGTCTTGTTGTGTACCATCACTGTAAGGGATTAGAGTATACTAAACTTTACACATTGTATAGGCTACATTAACATGACATTTTATACAGTGGTAAATGAAAGTGTTACAAAACATGACATTAATTTCTTGACAACCTAATATTAGTGCAATGTGCAACCTCATCTCCTTGAACAGGACCATACAGCACTGAACATCACCACACAGAAGTCGATTGCTCCTATAAATGATATGCAATCTTACCTTTTGGATAGTCAAAGACGCTAGGCACAAAATAAACCCTTGGAGTTTAATGGATAGAGATGGTGCACATGAATGGAGGACCAGCATGCTCTACACCAGCAGAATACCACTTCCCTACTCTCAACTGAATGCAGTTGTATATTAGTTATTCATGTATGATCACATTCAGAAGGATACCTTTATGGTGCACCACCCCAGGAACCTGGAAGTGTAAAGTGGCAAGGGCTCCCATACTCCACTTGAAAAACAAGGTGGTATAAAAAGTGGTGGAGAGTCCGGAGGAATGCCAACACCAGAGACAGTGCAATGCTCTGCTCACTTTTGCCACATAAATCCTTTAGCCACACACATATTTCATTAACTACACCACTTAAAGTATTAAACTTTGTTATGTTAGTGAGTATATTGAAGCTGCTGAATGTAAATGTAATTTATTTGAGGTGCTATAGTAGTATAATGAAGCTGTGTGTGTGTGTGTGTATGTGTGTAAGAATGATAACTACATCATCAACATTTATACTACATAATATATATTGTTTGATTTGTTCTGGCTTTCATTTTCTTGGAGCCTGGGATGCCATCTTTACTTGTAGGAAAATATTTTTTCTCCTTAGTACATTTTGGGGTTCTACAGATGAAGAAAACATACACTATATTGACATTGGATATTTTCTTACATTATGTATATGAAGTATACCCTGACCACCATACAAAGTTCAAAAATGATTAAAAGACCCCCCCCCCCCAAAAGAAAATTAAAATATTTTAGACCTATTCAGTGTATTAGTACAGAGGCAAAAATGGCAAACAAGTAACGGTTCTTCGGGTTTGCAAATACATGCACTATGCATTCAATGTTGTACATGTATGAAATATACAAGTATTAATCAGAAACAGTATCCTTTAAGCAAATACCACTGATGAAGTTCAGTTATTTTATAGCAGGGGTTTTAGAGCATTAGAACTAAAATACTATAAACTTCAATTATCCTTTAATTGTTTTGTGCAGTATACTATGATATATAAGCATATCCAAGAAAGCATTGCACTCAAATGAACTCTTCACAAAACATTTGTACAACCACCTTAGTCACATACCATCAAAATGCAAGATTCACAAAAAACAAGTGTAACACTGTTATTGACCCTTTCTTTATAAGCTTTCAAAAGTTTTCTTTCTTTCTCTCCCCCCCTCTCTATACATACACACACACATACAAAGAATGGATGGAAACTAACTTCAAATGTGCCAAGACAGCGCCCTAAGGTTCCAGTAACTCCTGCTTCTTCCATAACTTCTCGAATGGCAGCAATATCAGGTTCCTCATCAGGTTCAAGGCCACCCCCTGGTACAATCCATTTTTCTGGTGCACGGCTACTTGAAACCAGCAAAACCTTGGCACAAAACAAAACACCTTGTTAATATGTTTTTCACTAAATTATATTTTTGTAAAAGCATTCCACAAAATATTATCAGATCTCAAATTAATAAAGAACACAGAAGTGATTAATGAAATATATCTTGAAGCTAAAAATGCATTTTCAACCAACTTAAATGATCATTTAAAAAAATATATATACATGTGTATGTGTTTGTATACAAACACACATCTATATATACACAGTCATACAAATATACAAGCTCTTGAAGATGAAAATTAAACAAAAGCATCATGTTCTTTTCCTCAACATCATGTGCAAGTACACACATTCAATTTCATTCTAGCATTCCATTTAACACTGTCAGGTTTTATATATGGGCCAAATTCTTTACAATACATGTCTGTGACTTGTTGTTGATAAATTTCAACAATAAACAAACAACACACAGTCCACTTGTTTTAAAATAATATATTAAAACAAGACAAACATATAAGCAAAGGTTCATTACACCGTTGATTATCACAGTTCTATCCAGAGCTTTAAATAATTGTCTCTTTTTCGTCCAAGTCCACACACACACATGCAGCTCATAGTAGCTTGTGGCTAATGTCATTCGTTAGCATAACGTGAGCTGCACGTTCCCCAAGTTCACAGTTCAAAGAGCAATAAAACAATAAAATTTAATTATAAATAGATGTATACTGTTACAAACTTAAAGGTACTTAGGATAAAAGAATGTAGTTTCATGTTACAATTTGAAGTCATTCTAGAAAGAAAAAAAAAGGGTAATTTAGATTTATTTCAATTTTTTTTTGGTGATTGTGAGGTCGGTCGAATTGATCGATTCCATTTTGAGATAGAGTAGAGAAAATAACAGATAAACTACAGTTTTACTGGAAAAAAAAACGTTTGAAATGCATTTAGGAGGTTTTAGGGATTACACAAGGGAAATTTGAGATTTTTGAAATAAGGAAAATGATTTATAATTTTAACATAGACTATTCAAAACAAGTACTCAATATATTCTTGGACAAATCTTTATTTAATTAAAAATACTTCACTAAAAATATGATTTTTTTGAATGTGAAAGACTTATAATATTAACTGAAAGACTGCCAAATTTTGTGAAGATATACAGACTATGTTGAAAGTTAGAAGTATTAAATCTATAAAGATTTTAAACTACAAAGAGGTTACATGGTTGGTCAAATTGACTAAGCCCATGTTGAGAGAGTTAATGTTAAGTAGCATATGATTATAGTTTTCACTTCTATATTTAATTTGTATGACATACTTTTGCATTTTCTGGAATTTTATATGTAAAACACTTATTGCTAATTCATTACTTTTCATTTCTATAATTAATGTATTGTATAACATCTAATTGTCCTGAAAATAACACTTACTTAAACCTCTAAATAATATACAATAATTTAATTTATGTATATTTTTATGCTGATTTGCTTCACTAAAATTTAGTTCTAAATAACTATGTTTAACCATTACTATCTTAGAAAATTATATCCTTACCTTTCACAAATCTTTCAAAAACTTTAAGTATTAGATAGGGGATCATGATCTTAGATTGACTGTTCAGATTTATATCTAATCATTCACTGAAATCTTACAAGAAAGATGAGAAAATAGATTAAATTGTAAATCATTCTAAATATTAGAAGTGAGAAACCTTTTCATCAGTAGAGATGATATGTGTAAACATAGTTTTCTCTTTCTAAAGATATGACGACCCTGAAAAGAAATTTCATTTGTTTAAACAAAGTCATTTTTTTCATATTAATATCTCTCGTCTTCTCCATTTCTGGACAAAATTTCATTTGAAAAAGTGTACCTATAGTCAAATGTAATATCTATGGTATATCCAAAGTGTTCTAGCATATAAGTAATCAAATGTAATAAATCACTGTTAATAAAACATTCATCTAATATGACCATAAAACATTTAATTTAGAAACTCTACCAAACAATTATGCACTTGTAAATGATAAATAAGTAAATTCAATATTCACTTTGTACTGTAATTTTGGGCAATAGATCTTTTGACCTTCTTGCTTATAGCCTGCTACTACATTATGTAATTAGGGAGAACTTTTTGACTCTGGTAAACTCTAAAGTACATAGCCAAGGGACTGTAAAGTGTAGACAAGCACTACTGTGTCAGTAAAGTAGTTCCCTCCTTTAGATACTCAAGATACTCCTTGAAGTTTCAAACATGCAAAAACAAACAAACTCATCATCAATCTATGCTAAATAAAAATGTACGAGACTTTCCTGAACTACGAGAACATCTGAACACATAGCAATAAGACTAATAATATTTCTTTGCAAATTATTATTTATTGACCATTTACTACTGATTCCAATGAGAATAAACATAACATCTAGACTGCTCACTCAGATTTCTCTTTTCCACTTTAACAAATCATCTTCCAAGTTTGCTATGAATGTTTAGCTATAAACCTAAACAACTGATCTAAGATAGTAATCCACTGGGACCAACCTAGTAACCATTAAAAACTTTTAAATTAATAAGCAAATGTTCACGAAATTTGGCAGATTATAGTAAAAATTACAGTGCTTTCATACGTACAATATAAAATTTGTTTATTAAGTCTTAAGGTTGTAAAACAATGTTTTTTTATGTCTTTTTTTTTCTTTTTGCATGTTGCCTATCTATTATGCAACATAATATTCATTTTAAGATTAAAAATACTTTTATGCATCAGAAAATTTTCAAATTTCTCAACCAAAATCTTTATAATATCCAGATAGTTATCAAACATTTCTTGAGAAAAAACTTTGTATTTTATCTGTTATTTTCGGTAATTAATCTCTGTATGGATTCAGTAGATTTGACCAATCTTGCAACCACCATATAAAATTAGGAAATAAATATAAATTTTGCCTCTTTAATTCTAAAATAAACAAAATCATAACACGAAAACGTAAATGTTTAAACTAAATAGCTTAAATCTCATAACATTATACATTTACATATATCTATTATTATACTGATATTGACTTTTCAGCTGTACCTGGTTAATAATACAGAAGTTACAATGACGTGGCTCATGTGCACTTATGTTACAGTATCAAATTATATAAAACTGACCTTTGGTCTGTACAAAGTAACTTGTCCTGGCTGTGTTTTAGTAGACTAGTATTTTGTAAAAT